CTCTTATTTCATTATCTGCTGAATTACAACGGTATATTCCGGCAAATATTTATATTTTTCTTCAACAATTGGATTTCAAATGGTTTTGCTTCTTTTGTGTTCCTAAAAAATGTTTGTTGCAAAAATTACAAAAAACAATATAATTTTGATCAAAAAAATCAGTTTAATCCAAAAATAATCTGCAGTTTTGGGACTGGATGATTTAGTAAACAGGCTTTTGATTAACCATGCTTGTATGTGTTTTATGATAGTCGTCGATTTTTCGATTAAAAAAACAGAGAAAGAATCTAACCTGTCACACAGTGACACAAAAAATGGTTCAAAAACAAAACGAATAAACAATATAATTTTCTATTTCATAACAACATCAGTAATATATAAACCGTGCAGTAAATACTTGACATATTGGTTGTATGATCACTGGCTATTTTGATCGTGGAATGAAGTGAAAATACATTCACAATTTACATAAAATAAATCAAACAATGAACTATTATTATAGTATAAATATAATTAAAATATAACAAACAACAAACAAGTGAAATAGTTAAATAACATGTGGTTTTAATTAACATCAATAGCAAAAATTTATAATAAAACAACAATAAATTATAATTTATTTTTTCTGAATGTGAAACTATTTCTTAATAATTATTATCATATAATTAAACTAGTTGATTAATTATAAATAATTTTATTATACATTATTATTATTTCAAAAGGGTTAATACACCAGAACCCCAAACACTTAATTCTTTTATAACAACAAATTATTTAAATTTTAAATTGGTGTGATTAAATTATCGACCATTTGAAAACCCCACGCTCGTTAACCGTTTGTTATCATCAAATTGATTTATATTTTATAAATTTATCAATATGATATGTTTATAATGTGTTTTTATATTTTGTTTATGTTTATTGTATTGCAATTTTTGTTGTTATAATAATTTCGAAGTTAAAACGTTTATTCGATCTTAATAATTCGAGTTGATATTTATGTGTGTTTTTAAATTATTATTATGTTAAATTTATAGATTATAATGGTAATTTAAGCTTATTCAATTGGAGTTAATAATTTCAATATTCACAACAAAAATTAACTACAAGCTGAGCAGAAATCAAATTTCATATTATGGTGTCCAAAAGGTGGACTATTTATTCAAATTTTCGATGTTTTAATTTATTCGTTTTTTTGTTATGTTTTGATGTATTGTTTAGTATTTTAAGTTATAAATTGTTAAAAACTATAAAATAAAACCAATATCTAGTTTGAGTTGTTTGGAATGTTCGTTTTTACGAATTTACCCTTGTTTTAATCGATAGCCATATTATATAACATTTTTACAAAGTAAATTATTTTTTATGTTTTATAAGCAACAATAACATTATTTTTTGCCCAATAACAATTGGCAGTAATATTTCACGCCGCAGTGATTTTTCACGGTACTCTAACAAAATAAAAATTTGGTGTCATTTAATAGTATTTATGTGTTATTTTTGTAATAAACCCGTATTTTAATTCAATGTATATTAGTTTATCAGTTTATCAAATCACGAACTGAAAATATTTTAAATATTTATAAACTATAATTATTCGATCAATAAACTAATAAGATTAATTAATAAGATTTTATCAAAATACTACTTGTATTAATCAAATCATACAAACTTTTTAGACGCGTTTTATCATCTCTGCACACATTTAAAACAATAAATTATCACTTGTGTTTTTGTTTGATAAACTAATTGAACAAATGTAATTATATTCTAAAATAATTCAAATTCCTAATAAGATAGGTCAAAGTATGTTTGTTTATAACTCAGGCATTAATAAACCACTATATTTTTCATTGTTATTTTAGCATTTACAATTTAAAAATATTATTTAAATTTGTATATGTATTTTCAAACTACAATTCTAACAAACCTTTGTTTTTGATTGTTATTTATAAGTATACAAATATCTCTTTGTTTTGTGCTTAAATCGACATCTTTGAAACACAAAAATTTTGTGTATCACTCTTTTTTTAAAAAAGTATTGTGACAAATAAATATGACTTCATAATATACATGTTATTTAAAAAATTCACATGATTTTACAGTACATGTATTTGAAAGAAGTACAAATAAACATGTGTATATTCAAAAATTTAATAATATAATGGTTAACTATTATATTTTATTACAAAAATGTTCGAATAATTAACATACCATTTTAAATAATAATTGGCATTTTTTATTCAACCTTATATTTTGATTATTTTTCACATTTTGTTTTATCATGGTATTTAAAAAATTTAAAAAATCAATAAATTATAATATTTTTTATATATTTTTAAATTTAATAATCATTATTGTTTAATTTAAAGTGAAATATTTGTGAAATATATACCATCTGATTTTTGTTTGCAAAGTTTGAAAAATTTGATTTTGTTAATTTTGTTATGAATATATTTAAAACATTGTGTATATCAAATAAACATTTTTGGGAATTATTTATTATTTTATTTATACAACATGTTTTTAAAATATCATTTAAAGTTTATTGTATTTTATATTTTTTGTTTTACCACTTTTATTTAAATTTGTATTGTTACAAAATTTTACAAAACGTAAATATGTTTGACCATCTTTATAACATTTTTATTAAATCAAAAAAC